GATGCTGAGGGGACCAGCCCGCGGCCGCCGCCTCTGGCCGCCGCCATCGCCGTCTCGGACTTCCGAACCAGCGTCGTCCTCAATCACCTGGCTGAGAAGTGGTTCCCCGGCCAGCGCGAGCGGGCCCGAGCGGCCGGCCGTCTTGGGGAGCTGCTGCACCAGGGGCGCTACCGGGAGGCCCTGGCCGCCGCCTGCGAGGCGCTGCGAGCAGGTGACCGCGCGGGGATGCGACGCGGGCTGGGCGACTCCACCCTCATCTCCCGGACGGGCCGGGTACCCAGAGCTCCTCTGCGCCCCGAGAGGCACTTCTCCTTCCCGGGGAGCCAGTTGGCCCCCGGTGTGTAGGATCTCGGGGTGCTCGAGGGTATGGGAGGGGGCGGCGCCCCGGGGTGCTTCGGTCACAATGGGGATCGCCCTGGGAGCTGACTGTGACGCGGCGCGGGGAGGGGCGCGCGGAAGCGGGGTTCCCTCGGCCACGGCTAGCGGGGGATGCGCGCGTCCGGCGTGGAGCGGGTGACCCCCACCGAGGCCGCCCGGGCGCGGGACGAGTGGGAGAGGGGCTAGCCCGAGTGACCGCTGGCTTCCTGCCTCGATCTTTCCGGTAATTGGCCTGGTCGCCGCGGGGAACCACAGTCAGGTCGGGGAGAGGATCCCCAGTCGAAGCTAGGTGGGCAACATTTTCCTTCCTCTCGCATAAAAGTCACCGGGGCAATTGGAAGCCGCGGGAGGGCAGAATTGCATAAGCTGGGGTGGGGGGAGCGTTGTGTAACGGGTGACGTCCGGTGGGCGTGTCGGGAGCTCGGCGCGGGCACCCAGCACCGGGAGGCCCAGCCGGCCGCCGCGCTTCCAGTGGGTGTCAGGGCGCCCACGGGTGGTCACCTCTTACCAGACAATGCCTGTAGAATTGGCTCTTGTCAGTGTCAGCCTATTTCAAGTCATACTTCACATATACCTGTGTGCTTAGTTGCAGATGCACCTAGTTTTTGTAAAGGTACAGAGAGTCTCTGATCCAGAGTGTTTGCTGCGCTTCTTTTTTGTTTCAACATTTCTGATCTAGCTATGGGGAAAGGCTTTGTAGGCTTTGTAAGTCTTTTGTCTATTTCTTCCTGTCGAAGAAGCAGCAGCTTTGGCTTCCTAACCTTGGTTAGAACTTTTCTTAGTTTAGCTATGAAAGAGGGTAATGTCAAACTTAAGTAAAATGAAGACTTGTTCTTTAAATTGGCAGTTCTCCACCAATGGGGGGGTGGATTTTACCTTCCCCTTCTCAGGGACGTTATATAGAGACATTTTGCGTTGCCACCCCTTGTGGGAGTGTTGCTGATACCAACATTTAGTGACTGGTCCTGGGGTCCTGCTAAACTTCTCACAACGTTTAGGACAGCCTCCTACGTAAATAAATAAATATCAGGCCACAAATGTCAATCATGTCACTATTGGTAAACCTTATATTAAGCATGTTTCAAGATTTTATTATCTGTATTGTCAGTAATCTCCAAGAAAATAGACGTCTAAAATATAAACTGACTATAAGTATTAAGTATGTTTTTGAACTGTGTAACTGAAAATATCATCCTGTGGGTCTTTTATTCTGAGTGCTTAGTCATATTGAAGTAGTCACAATATCTTAGAAAAATACCTTTAGGGTTCAAAGCACAAACCTGGCATGTTTTCATTTTCTTTATAAGGAGGAGTAGGCAGTTTAGAATAAAATGATAGACCCAGAGCAAAAGAAAACTATGTGGAGTCCAGAATTCTGGTACAGATGACTCTAGCTCTCTGGGTGAGTTAAGTGGTGTGAAGAAGCTGGACTTGGTGATAAACCACCCAATAACTGACCAGAGTCTCATCTTAATGAGGAAGCAGAGCTAGGACAGCAAAATGACTTGTTCCCAGTCATCCAGCTGGCTGTTTTTACAGGCAACTCTACATCCTCCACTTATATGTTGATCTAGAATCATTCTACCTTTATAGCTTATCTAAGAGGATTGTTCAGGGAAGTTTGTTTGGTTTTTTTTTTTTTTTTGGTCTAAAGTATAGAATTATGACAGCACTATCAGTGTTAGCTTTACCAATATAATTATTTGACCTTCTCTTAAATTCATAAATTTTAGGTCCTAATCCATGGAAGAACAGTGAGCACATTAACTAATTAAAATCTAGCATAACATTCTATGATCACAATTTTAATTGAGGAAATTCTAGGTCTTGGATTGGAGATGATTATTTTTAACAGAAAAAGGCTCTGAAAGATTGACTCTTCTTTTTATAAGTTGCATGGACTGCACATGGGGATTTTATACCCCAGTAAGCCACTTAACTCTACTTTTGCAGGACTAGAACTCAAGTCTTTTTGACTTTTACCTCATTAGTTTATGTTTTCCTCTTTGTCTTTTAAAAAACAAATTCTGTGCTTGAAAATAAATGTGTCTCAATGGCACCAAGATATGGTGTTTTGTAAAGGTGTTTTGTTTTAATGTGAAGTAGAGAAGAAATTTTAAAACAAATTTTAGTGGATAAAGGATGAATTTGTTTCATAATTTTTAGTGGATAAAGGATGGATTTATGTTTCATAATTTATGAGCATAAATAAGAGGTTAGTGGTATAGTTTAGTTGTAGAGCACTTGCTGTGCAAGGACCTGGGTTGGATCCCCAGCACTGCAAACAAAACCCAAAATAAACAAATATTAGTTAAATAACACAAAAATATTAACTAATAGAGCCTTAAATCTCTTTGTACTTTGTTAGGTTTTAACTTGGGAGCAGGCAAGTTAGCTATTGAGCAATCTGAAATGTATTTAAATAATTATACAGTTGTAATTTTTTAAAATATTTTTTAATTGTAGTTGGATACAATATCTTCATTTTGTTTATTTTTATGTGGTGCTGAGGTTCGAACCCAGTGCCTCACCCACATTAGGCTAGCGCTCTACCACTGAGCCACAACCCTAGCCCCAGTTTTAATTATTAATGATACTGTCATGTTGATAATGAAAGCAATCTTCACTATGATTTCTTCATATATTTCTCATAATGAAACAAATACTATTAAATAGAAAAAAATAATCTAGTCTACAGTTAGCCCACACACATCTAAACTTATCCTTGTCAACAGAAAAGGAAAGCTTGAAAACCTTTGCCAAAATCAGAAGTTTCCCATTGAGATTACATAAGTTTCTGTTGCATTGAATATATTTAGATAACATTTAATCCATTGATCTTTTGGTATTAACTCTCAGATGTTTCATAACTTTTCTTTTAGTTTTCAAGGATATTATGTAAAAGTCTTTTCTGCTGGAGTCTTTATACTCAAGTCTGTTGAAATGATCTCACTATATAACGCTGTCTTTTGTCCTTAAGGGAGATTTACACTGACTTGCCTATTTCCTGTGTTCATCCATCTCCCTCAAAGGAGACAACAGAACAGTATAATTTACAGTTTGAACTTGTTTTAAAATATAGAGATCACAGGGAGCATTAAAGTATTTGGGGAAGGAAAATTTTGTCTTTAATATTAATTCTGTAGCCCTTGACTGTTACCAAGTACTTTTTTATCCTATAAATCATTTGATCCTGACAGAATCCTTGGAGTACTATTATCCTCAGAAGGAAATTGAGGCAGCCAGAGAGAGATGCAGTATAACCTGAGGATGAAAGCTATGTGTGCTGGAAGCAGATTACCTGAGTCCCCTTACTTTTTGACTTTGGGCATGTTGCCTGACCACTCTGTTTTGGTTTTCTTATCTGAGAAGTGAGCATAATCTCTGCCTCATAGGGTTATTTTGAGAATTAAATGAGAGAGAAAATGTAGGGTTTCAAAAAGTGCTTCATACAGAGTGAGTTCCCAGAAAACAATAAAGTATTTTAAAATTTAAAAGTTGTATTATGGTTAGGTGATACAGTGGAAATTGAAATCAAAACCTTGTGATTTTAGGTCTTATTCTGTTCTGTCTACCAAATTAATTTTACCAGAATCAAGGCTAAATTCTCATTCCAGTTTGCACATGTTAATCAGTGGTAACACTTTAAATATATGTTGATCAAGTCATAGATAAATACTGAATTTTTAACAATTCAACTAGGTTAAAATGAAGATACTTGAATTTAATTAATGACTTATTTATATCCTTACTATACAAAGGACTTGGAACATTGACATTTGTTTGGTGCTTTATAATTTTCAAAATATTATTGCTTCCATTATCTTAGTTAATCCTTACAAAAGACTGAGATAAAAGGGCAGATAACTAGTATTGGTAATTCACAGATTAAGGGAAAAAAGCCCCAGGAATTTTAGGTGACTTTCTTATGTAAGTAACCAAATTAGAGCTAAAAGTGATATATGACTATTCCTCTGAGCATAAACTGGATATAAAAATTAGCATACATGAAACAAATCTTTAAGTACTGTTACTATTCATTCAACAAATACTGAGGACCTACTATATGCCAGATATTGATTCATGTTCTAGAAATATAGACATGAACAAAATAAAGTCCTTCTCCTTATACAGTTCATATTTTTTTATGATCATAGCAAATTGATACTTAATGAAAATCTCCAGAAAATGAGATTTATTGACTTCTATTTAACTGAGCCTATATGCAGAATATTTTTGGTTTGTTTCATTTGTTCTTTGCAGTGCCTCAGAGTTACTAAAAAGATCAGTTATAATGGTATATTCTTTTTTTTCCTCTTTTTTAAAATATGTTTTTAGTTGTTGATAGAACTTTATTTGTATTTATTTTATATGTGGTACTGAGAATCGAACCCAGGGCCTCACACATGCTAAGCAACTGCACTACCACTGAGCTACAACCCCAGCTCAGTGGCTTATTCTTATTGATGTAAAAGATGAAAAAACTAGTTACATAAATGACTGTGAAGTGACCTGTTTTAAATGAATAATTTCTGTGTTTTACCTGTTTTTTTAATCAATTTATCAAAGTATACCCAAACTTATTTTAGATTTCTAGTTACTTGTCTGTTGACTTTTTGTTTATTCAGAATATTTTTTTAAATTATTTTATTCTTTTTAATTCTATCTAACATTAGGATTCATTTTGACATAATTATAAAAGCATTGAATACAATTTGCTCTAATTTCAGTCCCTAGCACTTCCTATATATCTCCTTATAAATATACATAATGGTGAAATGTAGAATATTCATATAGGTACACAGAAAAGTTAGTTAGATTCATTTTACTGTTTTTTCCCTTATCCCATTCTTTCTTCCTTTCAGTCCCCCTTATTCTACTCCAATGATTTTTCTTCTATTTTGATGGAATTCAGAATCATTTTTCTAAGTGTCTTAGAAATCAAGTAAAATTTGAGAT